CAATAAGTACATGGACGAAGTTTATTGCTTCGCAGCACGTCCTTTTTCTTGACCTAGTCTTCTCAACATGTTCAACCAGATCCACCTGTCACCCCTCATTTCCATGTCATACCACCAATTCACAGCGATTACCACGCCTTTCCCACCCGCCTCTTCGCCCTCCTGCGCAACGGCATGCCACCATCCTATATACATATTGCATATGGCAATTATGACGTCGAGATCGCCGTTTGCTTCTCAATCGAAGCGAAAAAGACCCATGACGAAAGGACCTACCTGACGGGAGGTAGAGCGTTTCGCCCGCATGGACCCTTACGTGAATAGGCCTTGTTCCAGGTATTGGGGCGGTTGTGTCTGCTGAGGCCCAAAAGATCATGTTTTCTTCCACGCTGTTCATTGAATCTGAACATTCATCTGCGTCGCCCTCGATATCAACATTGTTCGTTTCACTGGTCTGTCCCGTTTTCCTCGGATTTGGAGCTAGGGGAGTCAAAACCAGTGGACCGTCTGGCGAATGACGGGTGTAGATTGCGCGTGGGTAGAGGCGCTCGGACAATAGGTGGCCTTCCGTTGGAGGGAAGAGGGTGAAATGTTTTGTTCCCCTGACGACGGTGTAGAGGTTTTCATACGGATCTTATCGGTTGGGTTTAAAGATGCTTCTGAATTGGAACGTCGAAGATGAGGGTTTGGAGTCACATACCAGAATGGACGCTTGTCTTACTCCGGTGATCGCCAATCCAGATGTTCACGGCGTCAGGGGGGTGTCCTTAAGGGATTATACATTGATTCCAGAGCAACGTGGACTCGCGAAAGCTAATGGAAAGCAACGAACGATCTCACACTCACCTAATGCCTGAGTCGCCCACGGTACGTCCATTGGCACGTCATCTTTCAAAGCCTCCATCTCCGATTTGGGTGATGCGGGATTTTGGGGATCATAGAGATTGCCGTTTTGAGATTGAAGATAACACACCTCGCTTGTGGAAGCACATTGGGAAATCGCCGCGTCTGATTGGTCAGGGTCGCCCGAACCATGGGTGTACATTGACATTCTGGGAGCTGGATGTGGATCGACCTTTAGGTTAGCCGAGGAAGGATCTGGCGCCGTGGGACTTCCATGTGCATCAGCGCTGTATGGACAGGTAGCGCGGCGCCTACTGTTAGCATGATCCAAGCGTGATAGTAATTGGCCGATCGTCAGCTTTTGGGTGTGAGGTTCTGCAAAATAGGTTGTGCCGTTAGACGCGTGCACCAACGCGTCTGCGCGGCTTCGTAATGCCGCATGCGATGGTGTGAAGAATGAGGCACATTCATATCCCAGCGATGAAACCACACGTTATCGGGCGTGCACCCAGGAGATGGACACGCGCAATGAGAAAACGAATCGGATGCACGATGAAATGGGTTGGCAAAATGTAAGGCCGGAATTTGAAAATGGTGGACTTACCCATCAGGCGTGAAAGCCACGGAAAGCTCAGAATCTGCGAGCTTGTTTAAGAGATATTCATCACTCTGCCACTTGCTGAGCGCCACGATGTCCTGGACGTCGCCTGTGGCGTGGGAAAATCATTGTAATTCCCGAAATGCCAAGATGTTGAGTTTGAATTAAATGAGCGATTCGGAATATTCCGTGGCGGAAGGCACATCAATATATTTATTTATTTAATGATAGCGGAGCAATATCGTTGAATCAGAAGCTCTCCAGTCATCATGATGGAGAACGCACTGAGAAAGAGAACAGGACGACCGATATGAACCAGACGGGAGAACTCGAGTTCACTTGGCGGTCGGCTCCACGTTTCGGTCGTCGTGCCATTTAGTTCTTTGTCAAACGATTGCAGTCAGATATTTGCAAAAGGGGCAGCCTGAGTTAGGCGAGAGCAGTGTGACACAGCCCCGGATCGAGAACCTCGTCAGCTCATGGTGATACAAACCTTGGTAGTCTCTTGAAATCTGGTCGAGGTCAATCATCACAGTAGACTGGGTGCCTTTGTGCAACAGTTAAAGAAGCAACGAAGATCTCATTCAACAAGAAGCGCCCTTTAGTGAATCTCTTGATCAGTTGCCGTGAGATAACGCACGTGATATCAATGAATGTTCTGGTGACCATTTTCACCCCCTTACTCACTCCTGCTGTGCCTTGTTCCGCAAAGCGATTTGATTTCCTTTAAACCACGAGTGCCTTGTCCCCCCCGATCTTTCTTCCCTCTGGCCCACTATGCGAGGGGCGATGGGAACGACTTCGTCCCCCAACGACCTTGGACAGCTCCCGGTCTATCAGCGCCCGAGTTCTCATGCTTGGGACGTAAAAACTCAGGGTGTAATGGAACAATCCCCCGCCCCCCAAACCTCACATATTGAAGGAACCGGAACATCTTCCTATCAATATGCCCCTATGGGTCATGATGCCCATCTACCAATCAATCATAGTGATAGGCCTGTGTTAGCGCGCCTACGGACACAATCACATGAAGAAAAGCAACAATCTTCCTTGTGTATGTATCCTGCGGGCGACAATCTTACCCACACTTCCCATCTTACATCGCCGTCATCTTTGCCCCCCTTCCCACAGGCACTCACCGAACAGCCCCGGTGAGAACCTCCCGACCTCCCCTACCCCCCATCCCCATTCAAACCCACGGCCAGCAAGCATCGTCGGGCTGTCGCCAGGCGCAAGCCATTCGCACTCCGTCAATGGATAGGCAATTCTCGAGACGAGACGCTAAGCCCATGGGCGCGCGGGGCTTGAGGAAAACCGGCACCGTGTCAGGACCACATTCCGAAATGTCCGAGGGTATGGCGCGTAAGGAGGCTGAACGATATATGTATCGAGCACCTGCGTGGGGTTCTACGAGCAATTCGACTGTCGAAATTGAGGACGTGAATGTGAGCATGCTTTCAATTACCATGTCTGCTTCTTACTCACCCTTTGATGACATACCACAGGCGCGGGCATCATCCTCAGAGACCCCTCCAGCTCATGTCATCCTACCCTCCTTGTATGAAGGGGACTCTCCACAGGAAGAGGCTCCGCCGTCGTTTTTGGATTCGAGGCTCGATCCTGTATATTCTCTGGATTCACATTTCTCCGATCTGTCGCTTAATCAGCGCGCCGATACTTCGCGCTTGCAAACTCCCAGTATTGTAGAGGAAGATGATGTCGACGACGCCAACGAAGAACAGGAACACGAATACGACGATGAAGATCGCAATGGTGCAGTGCAAGTATTGACCGACAACAGGCCGATCATCGTCAACACACACTCTGCTCCAGCGATTCAAGGGAGCTTCTCTGTTGATGCTTCGGCGAATGATCCCAATCCAGTGAGGCCGTCTCTAAACCCACATCAACGTTACTCTCTCCCCGTCTCCATGCACCAACCTGCATCCCATAGCCATTCCACTTTCGTCCCCTCAGCGCCACCCAACTTCATGGAGGAGGGCCCACGCATCCTCCCCCCTGCAGGACTGTTTGATCACAAAATGGCCTACGGAAATCAAGATCATCGCTCGGTACCGGTTTCGGCATTTTACAACTCTACGGTCGGAACTTCGATGATGAAGCTCGGCGCTTTTCAGAGTAAACCGACGAGAGATCGGACTGGGGGAATCACGGTTATGCCGGGATCGGATCGAGGGATGACGCCCAGTTTGAATTCGGGTGTGGACCCAATGAGCCCGCCAAGGAGCGCAAGTCCAACTATCTCATTGCGGAGTACAGGGAATAGTACGGGGACTGGAGTCATGGTTGATGGAAGTAATCCTCACTCGCCCGTCAGTGGAGGCACATCAAGCCCCGCTAACTCCACATTGCACGGCAGAACCGCCTCGGCTGTCTTCGGCGGTGTTCCTAGTTTCGGCAGAGGGATGCCAAGTCCTCACACACCACCCAACGCATATCCGCCTGTGCCTAATCGGCAACCTCGTGTACTAGCGCCTCTTGCACCGGGATTTGTGCCTGGGCAAACCCAGCTTGGGGGGAATCAACACCCGAATTTCACAATGTCACCGAATGCCGTCGTGCGCCCCAGTGGGGCTTTACTGCAGGGCCAATTTGGGCAGCAGGGCTTGCCGTACGCCGGACAGAGAAATGCGAATCTTTATGGGCTAGATACGGGATTGGGTCCCTGGGGATGAAGATGCTCTATTGGGCCCACCATTTTTGTTTACCCTCACCCCCACCCCACATGAGAGCGGGGATGGAACTATCCGTCTCATTACCACTCAAAAATCCCTTCCCTTTACCCCAAATTCGGTTATGATTCACACATCACTAGACTCAGTTTCACAGAGAATACCTACGTTCCAATCAGCTTATCTATTATAGGCCATACCCATGCCCCCATGCCCACCTCTTATGACAATCTCAAAAGTCGTATGCCCCACTTCAGCTTTTGTGTCCTAATTAGTCCATCACATGCTTCCCTCTTCTCTTACTCGTCGCCCTGCTCCAGTTTGTCCGGATTCTTCACGTCCCATCTGCTCTCATCCCTTTGCTCTCGGCTCTCGTTCACTTGCTTTATTCACGACCGTGGTTACGATATTCCACCCTACTTACGTTTGATGGGCTGCCTGGATTGTTTGGTTCCACGTCTCAATTTTCATCTTTGGGTACTCTGATTTCCATTCCATCTTTTTTTTTTTCCTTTTTTTTCTTCATCTCATTCTGCGCAATATCTCCCCCTTTTCTGATTCTGTCTTTGAGCCCCAGGATGAGCTCAGCTTCACGTTTACACATTTCTCAACCACCCTGCATGTACAGTGTAACGGTATTTTATCTTTGTGCTTCTTTTCAATGTTGTACGGTACTCTTTGGTGTTTGTCAGGTCTTGGGCGATCAATAAATACTAAAAATGGGCTTCTCATGACGATGGGTTCCTTAGCCAGATCACCTTAATGGCCGGTGTTCGCTACACCGTTGACGCCAGTTTGTCCATTCGCGAACTCCATCACCACCACCGATTATGGACCAGTCCTTATATCAGTACAAGACTCGATCTAGGAATTGGATGGCTTCGGGTGATCAGGCGGTTTGCGAGTTGATTTAAAATTACTGGCGACGAGGAATGAGGGAGAGGTGTTCCAAAATTTATACACGATCAACGCTCAGTGAAGAGGTTATCCTGAAAGGAACAACGGACAAAAACAAGAGCTCTGTCAAAGCTCCCCGCCACTTATTCATTACCCTCTCGATGTAACTAGACTTCAATGCCGCTACGACGTGAGCAAGCGTGGGAAATTCTAGGGGAGTCGCCGCACCGATGGCCACCAGGGGCAGACGAAGGCAGCAGGTACGTTGCGCGCAAACTCTCAGTTCGGAGGATGCGAAAGGAAGTGAACTTTTTTCTGGCTCTATAGACAGCGAAGGGGAATCAGACTACTTTGTCGTCATTTTATGGTGGCAATAAATCGAGGTCTCAACAAGTCGCGTCCAATGATTCTTTGGATGGTGCCCAAATTGCCGAAGAGTCGCCTTTACTTACTGGAGACCCGAATGTAACGAGTGGGGAACGCGTTGGGGGAGAGCGTGTTGGCAGTGAGGACGATGTCCCTTCGCCGCCGTCTGGTGCGCTCGTGAACAGCGTCCGTATGATTTTTGTGCTCATCACTGCGTTGTTCCCCAATTGTCAGCACCACATTCGGGACTCCCCTCCATAGAGAAGAAGGTCCATTTTCGTTCCGGAAGACGGCTCGTGTCTCTCTTGGACTTGCCTGTTCTTGAGCTACCTAGCAGCTGCCGGCGCGTCGGTGGTGCTGAGAAAATCCAAATTCTGAAGCCACAGCAGTCGAAGGTTGCAGGGCCTCTTGACCGTTTGTTTAGGGACACTGCCGGGTCGTCCATCGAAGAGTCGGCGCCTGATCCTCTTCCGGACATTCGGCCTTCTACACCTGAAGTCCAGCCTCGTGGTTCACCAGCGCCGGCGCGTCAGGAGAGCTATTCCCGAGAAGTCTCCATCCTCGAAGTAGATCCGCCCAAATCCTCTCCATTTGAGGTGAGTTGGCCGAAAGAAAGATGTTGACAGCTAATGATTTCTTTCAGAGGCCAATCACCATTTCGGATTCTCCTGCCCCATCGATAAGGCAAACAACGAGGACCACTCATCCTTTCTTTCTGTCAAAGAAGTCAAAGTCTTTAGCTAACGAAGTGATCCACACTGAGGATGATACCATCGACCTCACGCAATCCCCAGTCAAGTCTTTGTCGCACTCTGAACAGAAGCTCCCCCGTTTTAAGGCGCGCTTCGCACCGAGGGAAGCGCCTTGGCCTTCTCCAGGTATGCAGCACATACAGTCATTAAGTAAAGACCCCCTGTCTGCAATGACATGCCCATTCCCTCCAAGACATATCCAAAAGCATGAATCAGTCCCTTCTCCACCCTTCACTTTCCCCTCATCCAATCCTACCCCACCACCCAGTCCTCAAACATCACTTCACTTGGAGCATCGACCCCCTTCGAATTCAATACCGGATGAACATCTCATGCACCCAGCTTTATCCCGTTTGAGAGCTTGCCGTTCCGAATCTTGGCAATTCGCGCATGCGAGTCAACAATGGGTGGACAAGTATAAACCGAATCGTGCTAATCAAGTCCTCGGCAATGAACTCAATGCTCAGTATATCAAAGAGTGGTTGCTAGCATTGCGAGTTACGTTTCAAGGAGGGTCGTCTTCCCGGGGTAAACGACCGAGAACGACCATCCGTCAAGCAGTCGACAAGGTCCAAGAGCGCGCAAAGAAAAGACGAAAGAAGCATAGTGATGCATATGGCGATGAGGATTGGATTGTGGATACGGACGGGGAAGAAGATATCCCTCAAAGTGATGTAGACTCTTTCCGGGAAGATTCATATTTATCGTCCCCAGTCCGTTCTACCCCCGGTCCACGCGCATCTCGACAACCACCGGAATTATCTCCCACGTTTGACTTCTCGACAAATCTTTCTAGCGCGCTTCTCCTCACAGGCCCTCATGGCTCTGGGAAGACGGCAGCTGTCTATGCCTGTGCTCAGGAGCTGGGGTGGGAGGTTTTCGAGGTCAACCCCGGCACTGGCAAGCGGAGCGGTTCGCTACTTGCAAGCTTCGCCGAGGGAGTTGGAAAGAACCATACCCTAAAATCCTCAAATACTCGTCAAACTGACTGTGCATCTGAGGTCGAAACGAAGAAAGGTGCTTTGGATGCTTTCTTCGGGGGAACGAGATGGAAAGCTGATAGAACTGTCACATCAAAGACGATTGCGCTGAGTCCGACTGATCTCGAAGCAAGTTCGGATGGTGTCGACACCATTAACATCCTAGATAGTTGCTCTGACACTGGCAGCGTTGTTCTGGACCTCCAACCTTCTGAACTTTTGGAATCGCTTGCACAAGCTGACTCTGACCCCAAGGACGCAAACCAGTCCATAATACTTCTGGAGGAAGTAGATGTCCTGTTTCAAGGGGAAGGGAATTTTTGGACTGCTGTTGTCAACGTTATACGCGAATCAAGACGCCCAGTAATCTTGACTTGCAATGATCCTTCCCTCGTTCCGGACTTGGAACTTCCACTCCAAATGACACTTTTCTTCATTCCTTGTCCCGTGGACCTTGCCGCTTCGTATCTCCGATTCCTCGTACAAATCGAAAGCGAGGATGACGTATTGCCGGATTCGGAGGTGTTGAAGCACCTGTATGACGATACCAAAGCAAAGAGACTACCCTTCAATTGGCCTGATCAGCCTTTGCATCCTGTGCCTACAGATGCACCCGTTCAGCTAGACTTGAGAAAGGCGATTATGAATGCGCAGTTCCTTTGCAACACAGCCTTTCCCCACAACTTGCCGTCTGACACCGACTACCTGGATTTATTCCATGGAACATTTAGTCCCCGTAATTCCGTTATCAATGGCGCGGGCGCTAGTCGACAACATCCCAACTGCCACGAAACGCTCAAATCTTTATCTGCGCTATCCGAGGCTGTATCTCTCAGCGATTGCATCGGCCGTCGTCCAGCAGACCAGCTTGAAGTGAGTGTCCAAATGGTGCTATCGTACAAGTTAAATGTTATGCTCATCTCACCGACATTAAGGCATGGGACATTGATTGTTATGGCCTGACACATGATTCAAATCCGGAGAGCCAACAATACAACGCAGAGCATGCTTTCGGACGTTTCCAGTTGTCGAAGCCGCCATACCCAGAAACAGCCATCACCATTCCCATTCACTATCATACCGAGGAGAGAATGGCAGCCACGCTACTTGCCGACGCGACAGACATTGCCTTGCGTTTAGACCCGACAATGCTTGGTTCTAAAACCTGTGGCAAGCACCTAGACCGATTACTCTGGAGCCGGACACTGGAGCTTGCTGATTCACGAGCAGAATACCAGGCGCAAATCTTGCCTAGTATGGAAAAACTCCTTGATTTATCATGCCCCTTACTTCCTCGCCCTGAGATATTCCTCGATTACATCCCATGTCTTCGGTGGATGGTACGCATCGAAGATGAAGAAAAGGCGGAGGAGGCACGAACGCTTGCTTTAGGCCAGGAGGCAAATAAGACGGTGGGTGGAAGGGTTACAAGGAACAGCCGGGCTGCTTCTGGGCCTATTACGCAAAGCAAAAAGTTCTTCGTGCGGTTGATCCCGGTCAGCGAGGATCAACTACGGGCCTTACGAAATAGTGGGTTTAGATTGGACCTCACGTAGTTACAGTCTATTTTTATTCTCTTGAGATGGTTCATATATTGGATAACCAATTGTTGGCGAGGAACATGCATTGAAATTCGCACATTTTGGCGCGCGCTCTTTCTAATCGCGTGATCTCGAGGACTAAGTTCTCATCATGCGAAGTCACCACACCCTGAAGCTGTTGCAGAGGCCTAAAAGCCCGCTGGCGTGTGTGCACTGGATTGGAGAGAGAGCGTCACATTCCACGTCAAATTGGGAAGTCAACCCGCCCTCGGATCCCGGTTTACAGTTCTACCGGAATCGTCAGCTGGAGTTGTTCGCAGGGAGAGAGACTAAGCGGCTTTCTCTTCGACAGTTGGTATGGGTTTGACTTTCCCATGAATCATATACGTTTACTCGAACTTTGGCACTTGTGATCCGATCACGAATACAGGTATTCTTTGGACGAGCCATGGATCCCGAGCGCCTCCTCAAAGTAAATGCACGATTGACTCGGTGGTACCGAATCTATGTCTTCTGATGAAACGAACCACTTGTGCCAGAGCGCAAATTACGTCCGACAGGAACTGCCTGTCCGTCTCGCTCACCGCATTCGTGACATGCAAGCCTTGCCGTAAGCACGTGTAGAAATCATTCTTGGCCGCAGATATTGACAGCGCCGCAGATTTGTAGTAGTGACCCAAGATTCTGTCGCTCAAGTCTACGAGGTATGCTGAAATCCACCAGATGGAATGGGCCAATCCTCACATAGATGGTTGCAGCTGTACTGGGACGCGTTTGAGAGGTCAGAATTACGCGTTCGTCAGAAGAGAGTTGTATACAACGGTCTCATCAGGTTCCGTCGATTCCCGCCAGTCAATGACCTGAGCCAAAATGAAAAGTTTTGCGCTCTGTTGAGGACACTGTTGGATGCTCAGTAGGTTATCCACTGTCCCTATTTAGGGGAGTAATCTAAACCCCATGCGGACTCCAGCGCTGGCGTGATACCCCGCCTCTCTCTAGGATTATCTCTTTCATCGCATCATCTCTCTCCAGATCACCTCGATTCCTTCATGAGAAGAATGCTCGTTTCGCGCATATCACGGCGAGTTCTCGCGGAGCACCACATTGCTCTTACTGAGTCCCTGAAGGGAAGTACAAGTGAAAATTCAAGGATGGGAAGCCCGCCTGGCGATCACGTAGGAATAATCTATACCAACCTTAGTGTGCGGAATAGCATCGACCACTGTGTGTCACTGCTCAGAAATGTGCATGAGGCAGAGGTGGCGAATGTAGACAAGGTCATTGACTTCCCAGACGTGATCGTTGACGGACACATCGATGCACGGTTCTCTTACATAAAGGTATCTTCAGGTAAGATCGCAATGAGCACAGCTAAATTGACGTTCTACAGGAACATTTGGACTATGTCATCTTTGAACTTCTGAACAATGTAAGTTTATGGTTGTAACAGAATTGCGATCTAATGCCTATGCCAGGCCATTCGGGCAACGCGCACCTTCAAGTATCCCTCCGACCAGGAATCACGACAACGCAACGTCCGCGTAACAATAGTAGCATCAACTGATGACATCAGCCTAAGAATTTCGGATAATGGTAAGTTACTCCTCAAGGGTTCGAAGGAGTTACTCATTTTTTTCAGGTGGTGGCCTCTCAACGCCGGACCCAACAAGTCTATATTCATTCTCTCACTTGCGTAATGCTGCACGCCTTGAAAGCGAGCGACTCGGCGCTTTGAGAGATGCCGTGGATGCTAGTTCGCATCTGAAGAGAGGCATAGTGGGGACAATTGGGGAACAACTGAAGCGGTTACTCCCAGTAGATAAGGCGGCTCAGATTCTAGCTCAGCACGGAGGATTAGGCGCGGCGGGGCTCGGGACTGGTGCCACCGAAGCAAAGCGCCTGGAATCCAGTCACGATCGGGGGCGTGAGCGGATAGGGCTTGGCTTGCCAATGAGCAACATATATGCAACTTATTTTGGTCAGTAGTAATGGGCTCTGATTTCACGGTAGTCACTCAACATCCCAATGCAGGGGGGTCATTGTCGCTTACATCACTAGATGGATGGGGTGGGTACTCCCACGAGACTGTGATTCTTCGCATTAATTCCCCATTAACAGGTACAGATGTGTACCTTCGACTACCAAAACTTGTGTGCAGAGTCCATTGAGGCGGTGAAGTAAATGCTGACGTTCTAACAGGGCACCAATCTTGAAGGGGTAGAGGTGTGAAGCAAGAAAGAGTCTTATCCACAACCTACTTGCTCAGTCATAACCTAGTTACCGAAGCTGCCTCTGAACCAGGAAAGGGATGGGTTTTTTTAGAATAGCCTTTTAACGCAGCGATGCACGTCCCCAAAAGGGGTTCACCCTCTACTCTACTCAACCTAGTGGCATATTGGCTTCGATCCTGCTCATGTCCCTATGTTCGCATCAACAAGCCCCCATGTGCAACGATGCTGATAACTTTACTCCACGAAATCTGGCTACCACCTTTGGAAGCCCGGTTTCCAGCCGTGCCGTGCACTGAGGGGAAACGCGGCGTTGTAAACAAGCAATAAAAGGGTGTCCTACCCCACGAATAAAATGTTTAAAGCACTATCTTCCTCCTTTGATCCAACAAGAAGGTACCTATCAATACATACATAACAATGAACAGGACGCCAACCACATCAATCCACAAATTCCATCCAGAGTACACTGTTAATATTTTGCATATCACATAAATTTCACTTCAGCCGATCGGTTAACAATATCGATAGAGGTGCACCGAGAGTCTGGAGGCTTGCTGACGAACGCGCAGAAAAGCCCCCCATAGATTATATATGATCAATACTACAAGTGTGACGCTTCGAGTCTGTACAATTCTGAACGTGTCCAGAACCGGGTACTTTGAGCTCGTGCGCCCACCATTCGTGACAGGGGGCATAGGCCATCCCAATCCCGCGTCTCAAGCACGGAGAATTGGAGCTAACTCCAGTTATCCCGACTCACAAGCACAAAATGCATTATAGGTATCGAAGTGAAGAGGAGACCTTCCCGTAAATGGACGCAGCTTGCACGTAAGTCGCGGCAACCAAGCTTCGATTGTCTAATCCCCCAATCCATGGCATCCTAGAGCGCACCAGCCGCGCACGGTGAGTCTAGCTCGCTACAAAATTGGAGAATCGTTGCAATCTCCATGCTTATTCTTGAGCCTCAAATTCGTCTGGTCCTTGGCAATCACGCAACTCCGGGCCTCCATACAGAACTAGCAAGCCTTCGTGTCTACATATGCGGCGCAGGGCTGAACCTAGCGAGGCACTAACAGGCAGGTACGATAGGCTCAAGGACCGGTAATCAAAGGAATGGATGGTGCGGCGCGTTCCCACAAGCTTGGACAAGCCTTAAGCAACTGTTCGACCAGACATCGTTGGGATGAAGCAGGCAGCGGGTTGCAGGCTTTGGCGGCTAGCCTCTATCAACGCTACAGATCACTGTAGAGGGTCTGGACACAAACACACTTTATATTTCAGAGGTCGGGTCCAGCCTAGAAATGGCGGAAGCTGCCAGTTGAATCGGCTGCCTATTTAGATGCGCGTCAAAGGTTGCCCAACACACACACTATGTATGTATATCTGCACACATGCCTTTCTATGTTTAACCCTCTTACTTAGGGCAGGCCGATATTCAAGTACACGGTTACCCGTGCAATGTGGCTACTCCGCAACCCCAACGTTTCGGTTCACCTCCATCCTCGAGCATAGTCGCGTTGGCCTGGTTGCACGGCCATCCAGAATTCGCGTAACACCCGGAATAATAACTTTTCAGAAGCAAACAAGTTTACTCTTCTCATGGTCCCCACATCGCGATTTTTCTCAGCTCCGGAAGAATGACCCCAGCGACTTGGCCTCGCAGCCAGTTGTATCTGGGAGATCTCATTCAAGGACTGAGCAGAATGATAGCCCATCATCACCCAGCTCTTCCGGAACAACTGGCCTGCCTCTTCGGGAAAACATCTACACACTCCCAAATATCATTACAGCATCCAGAATCCTAGCATGCCCCATCCTTGGCTGGTCCATCCTGCAAGGGGACTTCAGGAATGCAACATTGCTTCTTGCTTATGCTGGTGTCTCTGACTGGGTACCAATTCCATCTGACGGCCGTCGCATTGAATGCCTGATTCTGGACTTGCACAGGTCGATGGATACTTAGCGCGGAAATACAACATGCATACCGTCCTTGGCACCATTCTTGATCCAGCCGCGGACAAAATTCTCATGACTACCCTTGTTGTTACGCTTGCCATCAAAGGACTGCTGTCAGGTGCGACTTCTGGAAGGAGGGCTTGAGGATTATCCTCACGTCAATTGTCTATAGTTCCCCTGGCCGCCATCATCTTGGGACGAGACTTAGCGCTCAGTATATCTGCGTTTTACATTCGATATCAATCGCTTCCTTCTCCAGTATGTTCCGTCCTGCTCCAACTCGCCACCCTAAGTGGATTGTTCCCTTTCAGAAAACTTTCATGCGCTACTGGGACTTCAGTATCCCTTCTGCCGAAGTCAGACCAACGATGATCAGCAAAGTAAGGGAGTCTCCAGGCGTCTCAGGGGTTTCCTGATGTTTTCTCTTTCAAGGTGAACACGGGTCTCCAACTTGCTCTTATGGCTGCCTTGACTATGAGTCCATTGTGGCCCACTGATATATCAATGCCATTGAGGATATTCGAGTATGCTGTTCTCTGCCCTCCTGCAAGCAAATTAGTACTCATAATCACTATAAGGTGGATTGTCGCTGGAACGACAGTTTGGAGTGGTGCTGGTTATCTATGGGCTAGGGACGGCTTCCGATACGTTGCTCGGAAGTCCATAACGAAAACCAGCTCAAAACCATAAAATTGTACTACAGAAGCAGACGCACTACATGTACTAATACAAATAAATTACAATCCACATGTGAGGAATGCGACGAAATCATTGATATGATAAATACTGGACGGTGGTGCCAAGGTTTTCAAGATTTTTGGGTCGCCCTCCGTTTTCTGACTTCTTCCAGCGCCCCTTGGACTGCTTGCTTGGAAGCGACATTGAGCAGCCAAGCTTCCCGTGCGGTTCTAAGCATAGTGTGAGTGTTCGGATACCAATGTCGAATCGGAAGCCTACTTCGTTCTATGCACGAAAATCACAGCCATAACAATGGTTCGAAGGGATTTATTCGTCCTTTTCGGAGGAGGGAAGCCGAGACGTGCTATCGATGCAAGGATACTCCTTTCACTAAATTCATCTGTGGTTAGTTCCATCTCTGACAATAGGTCAATTAATTAGCCGTACCCTGCGTTGTGAGCCTCAAGAACCTTCAAGAGGTACACTTTCTGATATCCAAGATCCAACCTAAATGCATGTTCTCGTGTGCATCTTGCCTTCAGGTATCGAATTTGGAGCATCAACCCTTTGCACTCTTTATTGTGCACAAGCTTCAACTTCTCCAATGCCTCAGAGTCGCTAAATCATCACCTTAGAGGACCTGCTTCGCACAAATAAAACGCACTCACAGTGCTGAAGCAGCTCGGCTTTCCTCGACTTCCCGGACCTTCCGCTGCATTTCAACAAGTTGACTGTGCATCTGCCGAACGTGAGCTTGTGCCCTCTCAATGGTGAGCTTGTCCTCATGAGTCTTCGCCAACAGCCCAGCCCGTTCATTTTTAAGCAGAGCCACATCCTTTCGGATATTCTCTGCGTCTCTGCGAACTCTCTTGAGATCTGCTTCCAAAGTGGTTATCGTTCGCGCCACTTCCATACGCTCTTTTGCTAAGCGATTTTTCTCTAGTTCGGCGTCGTGCAATTCAACAGCTTGTTCCTGTAGCTGAAGTCGGAGGTCTTCAACCTCGGTTGCCCGGAGGTCGAGCTGGTGTCTGCGATCATTGTGTGCAGCTTGAGACTTGGACAACTGGTTTCGTATTGCTTCGGTGTCCTAACGGAGCCCATAAGCAAGGTATCATGCTGGCAGTTAGATGACTTACTTCAGTGGCTTTGGTAAACTTCCGCTGGAGCTCTGCCTGTTCTGCGATGAGTGTATCCCGTTCACTGCGTAAAGTATCGAGTAGGGCTTGGTTTCCTGAGAACTTTTTAGTCAGCTCTTGGATCTTCTCCTCTGCACCAGATTGTTCTAATGCCAAGTATCAGCAGCTGGTACAAAGCAGTACAAAGTATAAACAGACCCCGAAGTTCGGACTCCAATTTTCGGCTAACGCGCTTGGCCTTCTGAAGCTCCTCGCGAACATCAGTCATATGCTAGGTATGCTATGAATAAAGATGGACTTAATGGGTCAAAAGGTGGGGACTTACAGCCTCGGTCTGACTCAGTTTGGCCACGATATTTGCTTTTTCCCTCTCTACGCGCTTCTGTTCCGTGTTGATGGAACGAAGCTTATTCCTCTCCTCGCGAAGGTCGCTTTCTATTGCCAAAATCGACTTCCGTGCACGATCCAATTCCTATTCTCAAGTCAACAGGCAACATATTCAGAAGAAATGGGTAAAACCGACCATTTGTAGCATTTCTTTCTCGCGCTCAGATTCATTCTGAATCCTCTTGGCATCCTCATTGGCTTTTCGACGCTCCTGCTCCAGCTTACCCGACTCGACTTTGATCTCTGCATTGAGGCGGCTTGCTGCATCTCGAAGAACAGTTTTCTCATTGATATGTGCCTGCTTCTCTGCCGCCCACTGCGATCTGAGGGTAGTCAATTCATGATTCACTTGCTCCAGTGCCTCTCGCAAGTGGATGCGCGACTTGTCAGGGTCATCAGTGGTCATATCCGCATCAACGAAGCTGAAACGATTTTCGGTGGGCGAACCTCAATAACACAATTGGGGGGCTTACCTTGCCGAAGGATTGGAAGCCAAGACCAACAAATTAGAAGCATCAAATCGACGGCCACATTGTCCACATTTACACCGCTGCAAACGCTTACGGATACGATCTTCACTTCGTTTACAAGCGCCCACTTCTTTCTCCAGCTCGTCAACTCTCCCTCGAGACGCTTGGAGGGCTTCGGTAAGCTTAACGACGCTCAGGCCTGCTTCACCAAGTTCGTTGACCATTTGGTCGAGATTTTCGCCTGCTTCGTCAAGTTGCTCATGCAGCTCCTGAATGCGGGCGACATACGGCTGGATGTCCACGCTCCCTGAGATCGAAGCATTTTGAAGCCATGAGAGCTGTATGGGGAACTGAGCGAAATGATACTGCACAGTATGATGAGGGCTTACGTCTCTAAGCGCTCCTCCGGGCGTCCTTGGTGTCTTCAACAACGACGGCGTAGTCCACCCCCGCATCGTCCCAAAGCTTGCATTCCCTTTCATAGGCGTGCGAGTATTGGGGTTCGTCGATGCTATATCCTGAAGTGCGCTTTGCAAAGTAGTGACTTGCTCCTGCAACTCTTTGTTATCCGCTTCCAGGGCCTCGATGCGCATCGTCTTGGCTTTCTTGATAGCTTCAAGCGCAGGCGATTCTTTCATAGCATGCTCGAGTCGGCCAATTTCACGTTCGGCGTCCTCCAGCTGGGCTTCGAGGTCCGAGACGATGCGCTCGTGCTCTGCTTGGGAGACAGGAAGGGTTCCTTCTGCGACAGTTGTGGACGATCCAGATGTCGATGAGACGTCCTCCGCCTCATGACTGTCCGAAGGATTCCCAAGCTTGGCTCGGGCATGGGCAGCCTCAAGTTGAGCCTGTTCACGTTCCTTTGAAAGAAACTCGACCTTCCTGCGATACACCCGTATATCTTCATCCGCGATCTGAAGTTTCTCCTCACTTTCCTTGAGAGCTGCCTCCATCTGACGAACCTGTTCCTCCATTAAAGCCTCGTGAGACATCGCATTGGCAAGGTCATTGTCCATCGCTTGGATCTCCTGGTCCTGCTGTTCAAAAAGCATTTGTCTTTCCGCCAGCTTGGCTTCCAGAGCGATCAGCTTCTTGCGATCTTCGGAAGTACGAATCTCGCCCTCTTCCTGTAAGCGTTTGACGTTAGCCCTCTCGTTCGCGAGGTTGTCCTCCAGCCTCTCGACATCCCCCTCAAGCTTCGCAGCAGAACTACCTAGAATTACGACTTGCTCCTTTAGATCATTCGCCTCGCGCGTCGCCTTGACCAACTCCACTTCAACCTTCGTCTTCGCGTCCCTCAGTGCTTCAGCATTCTCCTCGGCTTCACGCACTCGCTCGGCTTCATGCCCTTCCTTGACCAGTCTCGTGCGCAGCGACTTCACCTGCTCCTCCGTGTTATCTAGTTTGGCTTGCATTTCATTGATGATGGCCTCTGCCCCTTCCGTAAGCTCCTTCGCACTCTTTGCGTGCAGTTCGGTGCGTCGCTTGAGTTCTTCCTCAGCCTTCTTGACACGCAACTCTAATGATTCGACTTGTTTTTCTTGATTCTCGTCACGTTTGCGGAACTCCTTCGCCATCTCATCCATCTTCTCCACTTCATCCCTTAGTTCATCGCGCTCTGCCTGCATTTGAGCCAAGTCCTCTTGGAGTGCTTGCACAATGTCAGACAGAACCTTGGCGGATTTTGGGGATGCGCTCTCGCCTCGTACGTCTTGTTGCTGCCCAAGAAGTCCCTGGAGACGTTTGTTCTCCTCGCTCAAGTGTTTATTCAGCCCATGCAGGTATGTGTTGAGCTTGAGATGATTAAATTTAGCCCCTATGTCGGTCGTAGGGTCGAAAGATGCATTGGCTCGGGCATGTGTGGCCAGATCGTGCGAAGACGCGGTGGAGATAAAGGATGTGTCTTTCTCTGCCAAGCCCGGTGTGTACACTTGTGAAAGTGGGTGTGAAAGCCGTGGCTTCGCTCGAGGATGCGGTGTAGGTGCTGCGAAACGAGGTCTATTGGTTGTTTGGACGAGCGACATCAGAAAAGACCTGTGTCGGTCGGCTGGGGTGATAGCAGGGTGGTAAGGCGCGAGGATCTTGGCACTTGGGGTAGAAGTGGGCAGCGAATGAGGGACTGCAGGGGAGTCAGTGATATCTTGAGATTCAGTTGATGACTGGGGAGAAGGGGTTTTGTGATCACGAAGAATGCCTTAGGCGCGATTTGTCAGTGGGGGGAACCAATGATAATCAAGAGCTCACCTTTGAGGGGTTGACGAGTTGTGGAAGGTTTTGCTGAATGGTGCCCTCGCACGTCGGAGCCTCCTTCCCCCAATTCTCCAGCTTCAGTGTCATTTTCAACAGCAGGTGATGGAGGAAGCTCGATGTCTGCTGCATGGAGACGCGAGCTTACCGCACGAGGCATTGGCGTTTCGGGAATATCTTCGCTCCGCGAACGGGAGAAAGACCTTGAAGGCGCAGAAACCTCAGACAAGTCATCCCGGAAGGAAACGGCATGCCGTGGTTTAGGAATTGGCGTAGCTTCAATGTCTTCATTGTGTGCTGAGTTTGGGGTAGCTGAAGGTGACGCGGAGGTCTGTACCGAGTTACTAGACAACGAGCTTGGAGTGTTGAGAAAATCCTCGCGGAGACGTGGCATGGGTCTTCGTTTGGATACGTAGATGGAGTTGCGTAAAGGACTCGAAGGGGTCGACTCAACCTGGTATGATTTGAGAATCAGAAGCAGCGAGTGACAGACCAATGCTCACTTCAACTTCTGGTACGGGACTTGGAGACTTGTGCACCGATGATAAACTGACAGACTCAAGCGCGTCTTCCAGGGATAGATTCTGCTCCCCAGGCAAACCCAGTATTGATCCTAACGAGAGATCCATGCTTTCCTCCATGAGACTTGGTCCGTCGATAACAAGAGATGCAATGTCTTGAGCAGATGAAGCAGGGTCAATTCTGCTGATCTCAAAAGACTCTTCACGAAGTTCACTTCGCTTCATGACAGCTGTGCCACTGGAGAGTATGGATGCTGCGAATCTTTCATTAGACGAGATTGTAACACCAGTGTAGCGCGAAGCGCGTAATTGAGATAATCCAGCAGGTGTATGTTGGGAAGGACCAGCCATGAGTGTTGTTTCTCTCGAAACGACCTCAGCAAAGGGTGAAATTGAAAGACTAGTGGATGAATCGTTCATTCCAGAATGCTCAAACATCTCCAATTCGGGAAGTGAAGGGAGTTCTACATCGTCAGCGGCTTCAAGACGACGCATGACACGCGAAGGTGTCTCGTAAGGGAATGGGTTCATCGCGTCCGACGCGAAAGTGTCGAGGTCTTGAATTGTTTTGTTGAACAGTGTTGAGCCGAGTTTGGAGTTATTTAGAGCCGGAGATACGGATCCAGTTTTTCCTCGTGACTCTTCGGAGCTTATATTCATTTGTTGAATCCCGGTCAGTTCCATCTGAAGGAAAACATAAAAAGCCTTGGCCAAGCTCCCCAATCTTTTTCGATTCTCTCTTTTACTCACTCAATAATTATGGTTATTGCTCAGGCTGCTCGCAAGGCAAGCATTCTTATTTAGAAACTGCTCTTTTGAACTGACGTCCGCGTTGCAGACTGTTTGGCAGGTAACGCTTCACATTTCTTCATTTCGAGGTGACGCGGACAACTCCTCACATCAATCCTCCCGTATAGACTTGGTTTGCTGTAGAGGTAAGGACAACGGGAGCTCCTCAACACCATTATAAACCAGACAAATCATCTCTTCGCTCTAGGCTATCCCAATCTACGCTGTCGTAGGTCTCGCTTGCGGCGGCGCTGGCTGGTACGTGTCTCGCTTGGCCCGCCACCCCGACGGTGAGATAGCATCCTTCTTATCCCTCTTACCAATTTCCTGATGTTATCCACCTCTCCTGCCGAATTTAGTCGTCTGGGACCGCAAGAACAACCCGACTCCTTGGAACGATGTTACGCCGAACATGAACACCAAATTGATGGATCACAGTGGAACACTTTCTGACAGGTACGCTTGTTCTCGCCAATTCTAGTACTGGGGACGAAGTCTAAAACTCCAATTCAATTAGCTGGGTTCGTCGCCGCTTGTAAACCGTTTCTTCACTATCAAACGACTGCAAGTCTGTGTTTCATCTTACCTGGATGTTTGGACAAGATCCACCCGTTTCATTCTAGATATCATTTCGCTGTCGCACATGTTTCTTTGCATCGCACGTTTGTACTTCCGGATCCGTTCTGACAGTCTCATAATCACACCGCCTATTTGTCATATTCAACACTAATTCCTTTCTGAGCCGAGCCTTTGGCTTCCATTATGTAACGTGTGAAAAGTTACCTCATGAAGTGAGACTAGAAAAACAAGAGGCCCCAGGATCGTCACCACCAAATAGTTACGTACAACCACAAAGTCGAGCATACGGACGTCTTCATCGAGTTCGGATAATGCCTGCTGCAACCAGTTTCTGAATCTTTTCGCGAACGATAGGGTTCTTCATATGATCTTGAAGTGCCTTGGGATCCTGTTGCGCCTGCTGCAAGATCTACACGTACAACAATAACTCCGCGTCAGTCATCCGGCATCTTATCAAGGTACAATGTGCCAGAAGCCGGCGGGGTCAAAAAACCCACCTGCTGCATGATAGGGTCTTGCATGATAGAAGCCACCTCCGGATCTCTCATCGCCCGCTGAAGCGTCTCCTCTTCAGTCTCGCCTTCGCGCTGGGTATATATCGCTATCGAAATCTTCTGCAGCTCCTGCTCGATTTCACGGACGTGCTTGTGTTCGGTGTCAGCATCGGCTGCCTGTCATGTCCCAATTGAGTCCTTGAGCAAGGAATTAACAGTTTAAATGATGAACATACTTTGTGGCAGGCCTCCATAGCTTTAGTGTACTCACGCATGCCATACAGGACGGTTGCTTTTCGAATGTGTCCCTTGACTGATTCGTTGGTCGCCATGTCAGATAGGTGGCGAATGCGACAAGAACGATATACAGACCAAAAGCAGGGTCAATTTCAATCGCCTTTTCGGCGTCCTTCAACGCCTCCGGGAGAGCAGCGAGCTTTGTATACGCCGCGGCACGGTTATTGTATGCTTTTGGATCCTCGGGGTCACGCTTAATGGCTTCTGTGTACGACTTGACTGATTCTGCAAAGTCACCAGCCTGGACACACCACATAACATGAGTATGTAGAGAAGTAATGGCTGAATGGACAGGTTACCTTGAAGAGCGCATTACCCTCTTCGCGGGCGACGGCTGATAATTCAGGATTTATGTACGCCTGAAGGTCGCGCTCCCTCTTGAGTTTCTGTGCCTGTGATTCAGAAGATGGGTCAAACAGTACGCTCGTAGGCAAATACAACTACCGACGCACTTCATTCAATTTTCCCAAAATGTCGGGAGTCCGGTGTTCCGCCAGGCTCTTCCCGTAGAACTTGATGGCACTCTCCAAATCATCCAATTTGGCATAAGAAGTCCCTATGCGCCCAAATGCTTTCGCGATCAATCTATAGTCGGCACGTATCTTCGAGAGAATACAGTGAACATGATATTAAGATCCAGAGCTTCCGGAACTCACAGATCTTCCTTCATCAATGGCCTTCTCACAAACCTCGATCGATTTTTGATAATCGCCATCCTCAAAGTGTGCCGCTACGAAGAAAGAATAAGTATACATATGCGGCCAATTCAGAAAAACTCACCGGCTAAATTGGTTAGGAAAGTGATATCTTTGGGCCACTTATCCCAGGCAGCAAGAAAATGCTTTTCTGCATTCTCAAAATCGCGCCTCTTATATGCCGAGTTGCCGAGTTGCTTCTCCTTCAATGCTTCGGCCTTATCCTTCGCCTCTTCGTCATCCTCTCCTGCCCCAGACATGGGTGCATCAACTGGCTCCGATGCGGGCGCCGGAGGAGGCTGGTGTTTGCTAGAAGAGGCGGGTTTGGGAGATGTTGGATGATTAGAGGTGGAGGCAGATGGGGTGGGAGGAACGGGGGACGAAGGCTCGAACCCTTGTGGAACCTCGTCCGAGCCCCCAGGACGGGCAAACCCCTGCATATCAATGCCCATGAGAACACCCATTACTTGTATCATCCGCGGGTCTTTGAATGCACTATAACACAATATTAGCACATAAATACGATCCTTTCTGGGAGGAAGCGCTCACGAGGCTGCCAATTGAGGATTCATTTGGATCGTTTGTAGCTTCAGATCCCACGTCAACAAGAAGAAAGAACATGAATTGCGACCGCGTACCTGAGCTACGAAACCTTGATCGGCGAGAAGAGGGGCAGTCGTGGGGTTCGCTGCCAGCTTAGAAAACAAGTTTGGGTCCTTGAATAATTTCCCAATGCCAATATCTCCAGATTCCGCCTCTACCCGAGTCTTAGACTTACATTATCCGCGAAAAGGGTGTAGGGAGCTTACTTTTCGCGTCTACAACCTCCTTCAAACCTTTCGTCAGGGCCGGTGATGGCGAATCCCCTTCAAGCTTAATACCCTCGTCATATGCAGCTATGGCATCGTCCCACCGTCTAAGGCCATGCAAGGCAGCCCCCTTACGGGAATAACCTTTACTCCAGGAAGGATTGACTCGGATGCACTGGCCAAGAAGTGTTAAATGCTAGTGATGACGTTGGTTGAACACTTACTTCTTCCGCGTCATCCAAAGCCTCCGTCCACTGCTTCTTCCCTGCTTTTGCAGCACTTCGATTGGAGTAGAGAACATGGTTCTTTGGATCGAGGGCGATTGCTTTGGTAAAGAGGTCAATAGCCTCGTCGTACTTCTTCGCAGCAAAAGCCTTGTTTCCCTGGTCTTTGAGTGTGTTTACCTGTTCCGCAGCGCTATCGTTAGACCTCCTCAACCGCAACGATAGAAGTTAGAGGCTCACGTCCGACATCAAGCAGCTCGATGGTTTTCTAGTACTTTCCAAGTGCCGCACTGCCACTGGTTTTATTCGCTCCCGAAAGGCGAATTCGGAAATCTCCCGCCTGTGGGAAGCAGTTCTACGGCTTTACACTTTAGCCCCACGCACGATGAGTGAGCAGCACACGGCAGCGTCCTCCGAGCAACCTGTGCGGAGAAGGGCACGAAAGGCGATCAATTGTGAACCATGCCGTCTTCACAAGGTATGTCCGTGTCAATCTGGCTCTTTGATACATCGACTGAAATCTAAGGGAAAGCTCAAATGTAACCGAGCGAGACCGTGCAGCGGATGCGTAATGAGGGGCATACAAAGCCAATGCTATGCCGGAGAAGAGGATGCTGGCCCAAAGAGTACTGTTGCGTGAGTAATCTGCACCATCTGTAGCGACGTTGATACATAGACGAGATTGCTCGCCATAGGCCGGATCCTCTAGGAGAGCTCAGTCAAATGCAGCGTTCCATCGCTTCGCTACAAAATTACTACCGAGCTCAAAGGAGCCGCAGAAATACTTCGCCTGAACCTGAAGCCGCTGCTGCGCATGACATGTTATTGAATTCGTTGGAATATGATGGCTACTATGTTGGGGCAACGTGTCCAACAACCCCTCTCTTGAGATACTTCAAGGTATTCTATTATCCCTTCTCCCTTCTGCTGATTACCAGTGTTATGACCCCATTTAGAACTACGACACTGAGACTAACCAATCGCCTATGCGAATGGCCGAACCTGATGAGTTGACCTGTCGAGATCTACTTCCACAACTTCCAAGGTCTGAATTTTCCTCATGCACTGCTGAATAAAGATTTGATAGGTCGAATCCCCTACAGCAAAGAAATTCTTCAACAGCTCGTTGAAATGTACATGACAGCGGGCACATGGATATGGTCTTATCTCGACGAGGTGGAATTAAAGCGCAGAGTTGACCGTTTTGTCGAGGAGGATGAGTTAGATGACATGACCCTCGCGACATTCTTTGCTATCTGCGGGACTGGACTTTATTATACGCCATGGCCGCACAATATCCTCAATGCATTTCCAGAACCTGCCATGGTGAGTTTGCCATTGCGTGTTCCGCTTATCCCTAACATCTCTTACAGGTAACTGGAGATCGCTTCCTAGCTTTGTCCACGGAAGTTCTGGAACGCCGAAACAGTGACTGGATACACCAACCGACTCTGGAGCTTCTTGAGTTGCATCTGCTTATGGCCCACTATTACAGTGGTGCTAAGCGGGGGATTCCGGAGAAGATATATATTCCCTCGCAAGCAAAATGATTGGCATTGCAACAGCCCTGGGACTCCACAGGGATCCTGAGCATTGGTGTATCCCCCCCGAAGTTGCTTCCCGTCGGAGGTGGGCCTGGTGGAATGTGTTATCGTTCGAGAGGTAAGTAGTGCATCTGGTCCCAATCTTGGTCACACTCACCGGTTTCGCGAAGATATCACTGCATTCTCTTGGGAAGGCCCCCTTCAATCAGCAATAATTCCTTTGACACCCAGTTCCCCATGCCAGACTTCCAACAACCGGGTCAACTCGCCGCCGATGATTCTATTTTGCCGTATCTCTGTATCTTCCGAGTGAGTTGCCCTCTTGTTGGAAGATGCGCGATTTGCTGATAATATGAGCTCCAGTACGCCCTTCTCGTTGGTCAGATATTGGAAGACCTGCATTGTGTCAAGCCAATGACGTTCGAGACCATCAGCGCACATGATCAAGCGCTTTTGGATTGGCAGAACACCTGGCCATCTGATCTGAGACTTGATGAGTTTGGCATCGCTTACGCGATGTCTCGTAACGCGAGCGAGAATATGGTGCGGCGCGGCGTTCAGTGCATGTATCTTTATGGTAATAACTGTCTGCTTCGTTTGCCCAAAGTCACTGACCAATCCCGGTCTCAGGGCTGTGCAATCTCACTCGTCTCTGCATCAATCGCCCAACCATAATCACGACAGCTAAAGAAGCCGCAGCCGCTCATGATCGAATGGCCGGTGCAGCAGCCAAACTGGTCGCCTTGCACGCTCGTGCCACACCCGATTACGTCAACAACGCTGTTCTTACGGTCCCTGGTCATCTTGGACACGCCCCTTACAATATCTTCGCCTCTGCCGTATGTCCTTTTCACCTCTGTGACTCTCCATTTCTCATCATAGCTTCTATAATAAGATGTTCTATACTCACCAACTGCTTTCCAACCCTGATCAACCTGGCGCAGCACACTTCCGTTCCAATTTGAGTGAAGCTATCTCAACGTTTGGAAAAGTCCGCGAGATGCCCATCGCGGATCGATGCTTCAAGATTCTTGTCGCTTGTCACCCGCCTCCAGAAACGGACAGTGAGGAGAACCAGCAAGTCAGGCGCCAGCGCATCGCGGCCGTGAGGCGAGTGACGTTCCCGTATGTCAAACTAGCTGATGTTGCGGATATCGAGCATATTTACCCTGTAACGGGTGAAGGTGATATCGCACCAATTACTGCTAAACCAGAACATGAGCAAAGATCCTCTCTCGTTCATTAGCGAGCATTTCCTTGTATTTGTGGTTTTTTTTTATTTATGCGAGGTGCTAGCCACCAAATGGGGATCCAGGTGAACAGCACCTAGACTTCTTGCGATGTACATACGCAGTATGAACTACATTATGGTATATCAATCGTCGTTACAGCATACTTTTGTTGTGAATTCAAATGCAACTGAATCAACCTTCAATCTTGCTCCACTTCTCAAGGTACGTTATCCGAGCAGAAAGTCCTTTCCTGAGCTGTTGGGCCATGCGATCGGTGGCTCGGGAAGGCCTTTCCTTCCGCTCCTCAGTGGCAGCCAACAATACTTGGTCGATGAGGTTGTACGGTAGCCAGGTAAATGATGCTTGTGGAGTATTCACGCGGGCAGGTGCGGCCTGATCAAATTTGGTGAATCCAATGAAGTGGGAGAGTGCAACAGTACACACCCGCTGTACCATGGCAATACTGTAGGAGAGAGCCTGGCGACTAGGCCATACTTCAATGACATTCGAATTAAATATTCTGGTTGATGATCCTATCCATATCGCCGTTAACATGTGCGCTGGGGTTCCCGTCAACTCATTTGGACTGACCATAAAAAACTTTGATAACCAAGCAGGCACTCTACTAAAACGATCAAGATCAATAATTTTCTGCAATACGACCTTGTGATAACTCCAATCTCCGTCCATCGAATCGTAGGACTCCAAAGAAAGTCGCAAATACCGCCAAGCTCGTTGAGAGTTTGTGCCCTCCCAGCCCAACACTTGATCAGTAAATAACCAAGGGCATTCGAGTGGATCTCTGCGAGAAAAGTCAGGCGCCGAGGACCCTGTTCCAAAGGACGATGCTCACATATCATCATCACCTTGTTCTGCTATCCGCATGCATCTCGAAGTCAAAATGCCAAAAATTGACGACATGTCCAGCCGGAATGTCCGTGCGTTGGACATTGCCAGGTCAAATAGTCCTAACTGAACATAGTGCGCAATGATATCCTCTTTCGTCAACGTTCGCACTAGAGCAGCTGTCATCAGCCATTGCGTCAGGGGAACATGTGACAGACCCCTAACCTTGCAAATTAGGAGATTCTCGAGCAAGTCGAAGCTTAGACATCAAAAGTGTATATTCTCGTCTCATCTCAGAGATGGTGACAACCTCAAAGTTGATGCCAGCGGATGCAAAATACTCCTCCGGGATGTGCTGAGACACCTTCACGCGCTGATGTTATGAATTAGATGAGAGACCAGAAATGCGATAATACCAAAACTCACTACACTAGCTTCAGATGGAGGAGCGATATACTCGACCCAGGCATCATCGGTGTCAGCGAGTGATAGGGCGTTTATGGAAGTCAGCAAACTCATCGCTTGCAAAGTACCCATCTCGAGGAAGTCCAGATTCTGTAACAGCTGTATTTCACCCAGACGCCTGCTATGCTGGTACATGGCGGCAGCAGCTAAACCAGCGAGAAATTAACACTTCTGCAAAATAGAAACGAGTGAGACCCACCCCCCGGTAGTCGCCTCTGAAGATGTACCATCCATGTAGCACTTGGGCATAGTCGGGTTTCTGTCGAGGATCCGTATTCCGAGCCTTGAACAGAATTGCCTGTTCCACATCTGCTTGAAACCCAATGAAGTTCAGGCTCAAAAGCCGATTTATCTCGTCATTTTCGCACATAGCGGTAACAAGTTGTCGAACAAACTCGCTTTGCCTATTACAATGGTCACGAAGAGGTCCGCTTTACTGTTGATCCAATACTTACTGTTCATTTGACGGATTTCTGATTATAGTCTCATAAGCATCCTCATAAAGCCCAAGATCGACGTCTGCTTTGAATAGACGTAGCCAAAGATCACTGACTTCGAGTGGATCCGTGCACTCAAGAGCTAACCTCGCAAAACGAGCGACTTGCGCAGCAAGGGAAAATCCGTCAAACACTCCTATCAAATGTCGCCAGTATGAAAACAACGAATCAGGCGATACACCTGCGGGCAAAACTATGCGAAGAAGCTCGTCGTCTATCTGACAAGGTGCCCCAGTGGAGCCTATACAACTCCGGGGTGAGTGCTGATACAAACCCCACGAGTGGGCAGTTTGCTTACCAAAGCAGAACGCTATAGTTTCAAGCAGATCCGCGGCCTCTTCTGCACGCCCAAGGTCCAATAAAGTACGGCCCATTAAATACGCGACTGCTGGCGACCGAGGATACCATTGTGCAACCTCATTGGCGATCCCAGCAAATCCCAGTGTCCAAATTCGATGGATCAGCTGGACCTCTGCTTCTGAGACTTCCGGGGCGGCGAGCACACGTAAAAGGCCTGTGCTGAATAGGTATCTGTGCGCGGCCACTGAAGGAGGGACATGTGAAGGGAATGATAATGAAAGGGACGAGAGAAAGACATGAAGGAGGGAATAGGCGATGGTGTGGCGAGGACGAGAATATCCAGATACAGTCATATTCCGCATAAGCGATGCGACATCATCGTCTGCGAGCCGAGCGGAGGTCGCTTCTGGGTCACCTGCTGGGGAGATCGCGATATGATGCAAGAGTGAGATGCTTTGAACAGCTACGAAGGCCTGGCCCGCAATATGGCGCCATCCGGTCTGTGAATCCCGATCTCGTTCAATGATGAAGGCGAGAAGAGTGAAAAGGGGAAGTATGATGTCATAACGAGCCTTGATAGAGGTAGCGATGAACGATGTCAAAAGAGCGGTTTGCCAGCTGAGCGGTGGCGCATCAATAGACTCGGTCTCCTCATCCTGCTCCAGCTTGACCGTATCCAGACTGACCAGTGCTTGCAAGACCTCAACAATCGCACCTTCAACATCTGAGAAATGCGCAAGTTGGCCATTAACCCATGTCAACGTAGCGGTGGGTACAGCTTTCATTATATCTCCTTGGGAAACTTGGAGCATCAGATCGAGGTAGGAGCTCTTCGGATCCGATCGAACCACATCTAGTATACTCTGATCAAGCCTTGTCGCCTTAGCGCTGCCTAAACTCTCACGAAGAGTATGAGCAATCCGAGACAAGGCGACTGTCCCAGGGATCTGTAGGGCGTTCGTGTTCGTAACAGATTGATGCAGTTGCATAGCCTTATCTGTCTTCACGATTGCGCAAAGCCGTTCACGCTCTATCAAGAGTGGCTCGCCGAAATACGAAACACCAAGCTGAAGGGGCCACCGAGCTTGGCGCTCGATTTCACGGCAACGCGCAAGGAAACCTTCCCAGTCTCTTCGGAGCGTATTCCAATAAGGAACCCAGAGTTGCTCGCCAGTCTGTGGATCGACCACAAGATCGACGGTGCAACCGACAACTGATGCAATTTGCTCCGCAAGAGTCTGGTAGGTTGTTGACAAGATCGGGTGATGAGCCCCAGGGACACTCATGAGAGTCGATGAGTACTGTTGCAGGGCAGCTCTAAGTGTATACTTTGAAAATGAACCGGGTTGGAGTAATGCCCTTAGGTAGGAGTCGGTAAACGAGCCTTGAGGAAGATTCTTTTCTTCTGATCGAGGAGATGGAAAGTACGATTCCCCATCGCAATTCACGGAATTCCATGATGATGCAATTACTTCACCTTCCACATCAAAATCTGTATACTCAACCAGCGCACTCCCAGCATCATCCCAAAGGACCCAGAGCGTGTCGCCGGTGACGATAAAGTCACGAAGCTGTCGATACTGACTTGGTTCAGAACAATTTTTCGACCACAAATATTCCAAACTTCGCTGACCGCCATTATTCTTCTCGGAAAGGCCGTATAAGGAGAAAGAGCCGCCTTGAGTTTGTGGCATGAAAACCAAGATCTGAAGCGCCTCGTCAATTCTGTCACCTTCCTCAGGTGGAATAACCTGCAACAAACGCCTGGGTTCGGGCCCCAATATAGTAGCAGTACGCGAAGAGGATGCCTCACGGACCGAAGAATCTGGGATGAATGCTGGAACACCAATGCTGGCGACGCAGACCCCCGTCTCCCAGACACGAAGGGTTCGATCGCGATGAAGAGAGAAAACAACGAGGGAAGGAGAGGGGTTGGGGACGGTCGCAAACGATATGGTGTGAGAAGACCCTTGTCGGGGGCGAGTAAACGGGATGAGCGATGTCAATGTCAGGGACAACGGCGGTCGAAGAATCGTCTCCTTCCATGCTGGAATGCCAGTGAACATAACATTTATGTGTGGTTAAGGAAAGAACTTACCTGAGAATTCCGAGGCAGATGAAATCCGTACAGCATCCAAGTTCAGAATCCCACCGTCTCTTAACCCAATGAAAATACTTCCTGCCTCCTTCACATGCAAGGGCCCAGTAATGTTTTCGGGTGAATGTTTAAGATGGTATTCGGAGATCCAGTTGCGAGACGCGTAATCGTCCGACCACAGCTTGGGCGTCTGAAAGACCATGCGATAGACAGAACCATCCTCAGTTAGGGCTATGATGTGCACTTCGGGATCATCAAACACAACTGAAGGAGTAGGGAAGAGCCTAGAAGGAAAAGAGAAGCGTGTAGGTGGTGCATCAGTTGATAAGGAAGATAACTCTATCGTTCTTCGCCCATGCAACACGCGCAAAAGAACGTGTGCCTGTGGTTCACAAAGTATTGAACCCTCAGTAGCATGTTCAGGTAGGACATCCGTTGTATCCAGCTGACTCGTTTTTAAAGGCTCTGGAAGACGCTGACTCTGTATCGCCCGAACATTTGCCCTCGAAACAGGTAGTATTGAGGAGATGTGGGCAGTAGCAAGTGTGTAGAACGAGCTCTGCATATTGTTTGCCTGTGTTTGGGACGAGAATGAATGGCCCATTCTATTTATCATTGTTTGATGCCCAGGCTCCGTATTCTATCTTTGGCTATCCCAACCGAGCTGGGCCAGTTCTCATGATTATATAGGACACACCGAGGCGCAAACTGATGGATGGGTCCACAAAATACGGATTCCTGCCCGCCGTGCACACTTGGGGATAAAGGTGTTTTCTGTTCTGAGAAACTATAGTGGTGGGAACAGGATACGCTGTCCAGGGGCAGCGCCTACACAAGGGCATGATTTGCTGGCACTTGAAGGCTCATTGTGCTCAGCAATTGATCATACCCAAGACAAGATATAGTCACCACGAGCTTTTCGCCACGAGAAATATAGGCAGCCCTACTGGCTAAATATCTCTAGCAGTTCTGGTTCAAGGCCCTTGACCTGGGTTGGTCATACACGATGCCGTGGTTAAATCGTGCTTAAGAGTTCCATACAGCGTCTCCCTGAATAGAACGGGTGGAAAAGACGCTTACATATATATTTTTAACCATCTTCGTTCCAGCCCTAGGCCTGCAGTATATGCCAGGCACGAGGGACATCATGTGCGGGAGCCCATGGCCACTCCGGAGCTGAAAACATCTACTCCTGTCCTGAATCTGATTCCTTTTTTCTCGAGTCCTTACTCTGCTGTGTATATAAGGGGAGCGACGCTTCGGCATCCAACAGTTCAGAAGCACTTTGTCCGTGTTATCCATTTGAATCCTCTCGTCATTCACTGATAACGATGCCTCCCGCTGCCACCACCGATGGTCGTAGCGCTCAAGCAATGGATGCGTCACCTCACAGGATCGGAATTATTGCTCACGAAAAGTTCAACATCGTCCTCGTGGGATGACAAAGTGCAATCCGAGATTTGGCTAAGTCCAAGCCCATCACGGCCGATCTCAACAAGCACATAACTCGTCTCCAACTAAGTCCATCTCACACCACCAGGGATTTTCGGACAACCTGATCTCGGTAGCTGGTCATGGTTCGGGCTCGTGATCATGAAGGATGAAGGCGCGACCGAGACCAAAAAGAACTCTGACAGCTTCCCGATGACCTGGGAGAGCCGTTCCAGCCATATCGGAAGGCCGGTGTATTCTAGTTGTTCCAACAGCGTTTTTGATTAGAACAGTGAACTGATCCAGTCGCCTGAATTATGCATGATGCCCTTGTCCCTTTCCCCTCTGCCGTTGTGCCTGATGCCACTAACCATTAGCATGGTGGCAATGTTATTGGAATTCAGATGTGTTCCCGGTTCAGTGAATGGGAAATTGTCGCCATTGGAGCGACTATCAAAGTCAAAGTGGCTACTGACTCTGACGCCGTCATCAAGGGTACCTTTGTGATCCGTCCTTGAAGGAGTCTTCGATTTGATATTCCTTCTAAACATTATCTCATGGACTCCTGACGAAGCGGATACACCGATGACATCTACACTTTCAGCTCTTCATCCAGAGTGGATGCTGATGATAAACTGGTCTCCCGGGTTTGGATGAGGACTCCGGTTTGTCCCGCTCCCCTCAGCTAATTTTTGTTTGTTTTGAACTCTTAATGTTTGGTTCATACCAGCCTCTGCCTCTGGATATTTCGTTAAGACCCGTTAAAGAAATCTGCTTGTTCACCAACTCGTGCGACCAGGGCCGCTGGCTCAGTCGCAAGGAAGACTTCAGTTGCAGTTGGAGTTGGTTTGATGTGATGATACTCGAATCCCCCCCAGCACGAGACCCCGAAAGTCGTGGATGGACGGAAAATGGTCTGGCTCTCATTGGAACAGAAAGGGGGCTGGGCTTTACGAGGGTAGAATATTTAGAGCGAGGAGGAAGGAAACAGGTAGTGGTGCTCCGGACCCGTTGGCGAGTCGCCCTGATGTCTTTCCTTCAACTCAACCTGGTAACGTTATCGCCGTCGGAGTCTGCGCCCAATTCGCTGGGTAGGATGCAGGGTGGGCGGTTTGTTGTTTGCATCTCGGCCGAAGGTCACCTCCGGTGCTTCCAATCTCACATATTCTTTTCTTCTAGTTATCAACTCTACAACCTATTCATCATTCCCTTCTTCAGAGCTTCGTAATCCACCGCCAAAGGAGATGACCGAGGGGGGGGGGGGGGAAGATGATCACAGAGACCGCGAGAGCCCTCAGCGCCGACGAGACAGCCTACAATGGACTCCCGCCCTACGAGCCATTGATGGAACGATGATTATAGTTGTGACATGACCAGGTCCTCCCTCGCGCCTCAAATTGCCCCTACCGATACTTTCGGGAAATACACACATTCGAAGGCAATAGTGACTCATGAGTATGATCCCACCAACTCCAAACGCGCCATCCTCAGCCAGAGGGCTCATCGAACTTTACTGGCAGGCACAGTCTCAGCCTGATGAACATTCGTGATGTGCCCGATGGTACGTTGCCGTTCTTCCCGGAACTTAACAAATTCCTATGTTATCTCCTATCAATCGCAACAATGTGTTTTCTTCACGATGCCTGCCTTGCCAAACGCACAGACGCTCCGCCCGGTAACAGGATCTCACGCATCAATGTCCCAACTAAGAGCGCCGCATTCTACAACCTGATCTGTTGGAACTCGACATGGCATGCTTAATCATTGCGCGTAGTCCACGCCCGGAGGCCATTGAAAAAGCGTGCTGTCTTGTCAAAGTCCTGAACTATAATTTAACTAGCGCTGCCACAGCTAATAATTCAAAAAGTGTTGGTGAAAGCATCACCCCATCCAGCTATAATTCTTTGGTCAATTTCTTAGCAGCAGAATGACCCTCATTGAGTGACGGG